CGGGTGTTCACAGCTCCACAGTGATTTCCGTGTGGGCATTCAGAGGTTCACAACGGCTGGATTTTAATAAGACGACATGATTCCACATATTATTAATGTCAGTACGTTTATTATCATTATCATTATTTTAAAACTGCAGTCTCTGTTGCTGGTATTTTGGTGCGAGCCAGAGTATGCTCTTGGAGTCACGTTCCCACAACACAGGCATCACGTCCTAAATCTCGTATTTTCATCAGCAAAACAATCAACATCCACAAATGACGACACACACAGCAACATTCCTGTCCCACAAACACCCCCTTCTAGACAGGATCTCCACCAAGTGTCCGATGTTGAGGATTTAGATTCTGTCACATTTATTTAGAGCTTAGCACCGAGCGGGCAACCCTCCTTGCGGTGCTGGCGATTGGAGGTGTGTTTTGAAATGCAGCCTTATTCCCCCCTCACATTCTCCCTCTGAAGGCAAGGAGTATTATTCCGGCTTCACAGGTGAGGGAAGCGGGGGCTCAGGCTGTTTAAATAATTTGCCCAAATCACAAAGTTTGTTGGGAGTCAGAGACAGATGGGGACCCACACACAAGCTCAGAAAGGTGACTTTACAATTTGGGGGACCTCGATGAGGTTCTTCAGTAGACCCCCACTGTACCAGAACAGCTCCCTAAACAGAGCCCCACAAAGACACGGGGGGGGGGGCACATGCGTGTCTTGCGGTAGCATGAGAGACCTTTCTATAGACAAGATCCTCTACAGGGGACCGGTCGGCCACTGGTCATGTTTCAGTGACTAAGTCACATATGTCGAGCACACTGTGCCGAGTCTACAACCCTGGGGTGGCCAGCTTCCCAGCACCGACCTGCCGGGGGGGGGGTCCCTTAGCCGGTGGGCTGCCCAGTCTCTTCACTTCACAGATGGTGGTGACATCCAGGGACAGGCAAGTTCAGTGGCAGAACCGTGGCCCCCTGAGCCCTGGCTTGGGAACCTTTCTAACTTCGGTCCCCAGGTGTGAGTTTTTCATACAGGAGTCTCGCAGGTGCCGGGGGTGAGTGAGCAATCTATTGGTGATGGTGAAGAATTGAACTTCACTGCTGTGAAACGAAATGATTTCTTAGAAGGAAATAGATGATAAATTCCCCTGACTTGACACCTTTCTCAGAAATACGAAGTGGAAAAAAACTAAAAACCAACAGCAGTTCTTTGGGGGGGTATCTCTTTCTTTTGGTTTAGCCAAACAAGCTGTAGGCAAAGGTCTCTTTCTTATTTTCCTGTTCCCTCGAGCCAGGACTGCAAAGGAGAAAGGCGTGTGACTTCCTTCTCCTGCAGTTTGTCTGCATGCGATCCAATGGCCGTAAGTGCCCGCCAGATCCAGAAACCTTATTTGCTAGAGGAAATCAATGAATAACAGCTTAGAACATGTGATTAGTTTCCTAATGACATTGTATTCTAAAAATCCTTGAGCATTTGCCTAATATGACATAGAAATGATCAGAAATATTTGGATGGAGTCTTAGCTTTGTGCTGGTAAATGTAGGCAGCTTTTACCTAATGTGTTTTAGTCCCCATTTCTAGACTGAGAGGATTCCTTTTTCTTTTATTTTAAAAAAAGGTTTTTTTGAGACACAAAAACTTTAGTAGGGAGCCCCAGGAACAAAGATTCTTGAACCTACACCCCAGCATAGAGAGCGCGCCAGACTAAACTAAGGTGTGATCAGAAACGCATGTTTAAGATTCTGTAGTAAAAGCATTACCGTTCTGTGTAGGAGGAAGTGCTGGCGTGATTCCTATGCTTCAGTCCATTCATTCGATGTTTGCGAGGCATTTGGCATCACGTAGGCACCGCCCGAGGCACCAGTCAGTCTTACTGTGAACAAAACCCGTCAAACCACCCTGGCCGGGTAGCTCAGTGTGTTGGAGCGTTGTCTTGTACTCGAAAAGGTGAGGGTCTGGTGCCCGGTTGGGCAGGGCATGTAAAGGGAGGGACTGACCGGTCTCTCTCTCCCCCCACCTCTGTCTCTCTCTCTCCCCACTTCCTCTCTCTCTAAAATCAATGAAAAATATCCTTGAGTGAGAATTAAAAAAACAACATGTAGCATCCCAGAACTCCCAGTCTAGTGAAGCAGAACAGCACACTCCAGAGCAGTGCAATTGCAGTTGTGACAGACAACTGCAAGGGAGATGTGCGGCTGTGCAAGCGCCTTTACATATGTGTGAGCTTAGGTGTGTGATTCATCTTACTGCCTTCCAGGGTCTTTTCATGTGTTATGTGCAGACAGGAGGGTGGTAGCTTTCATCGTGGTCCACTGCTCACCTAACATTCTTCATCCTTGGGGTGTCCGGCCTGGTGGACACTGGATTTTGAGTTTGGAGAAGCTAGGCCCTGGAATGCAACCGTTTCTAGATAAGCACTGAGTTCTAAGTTTGTGTGCCGGAGGGAAGGGCACTCTCTAACACGGGCACTTGCCAGCCTCAGGCTCCTTCTGTCTAAGAAAAGCTCTACCCAGCCTTGGCCTTTGGTTGCTCGCTTGTTTTGACACGTTCCAGTCCTGCAGCCTTGGCCCCAGGACAAACATGCCCAAGGGCAGAAGAATTCCATGGCAACTTGGAATGTGACATTCTCAAGGTCTGTCAAATTATTTGTGGTGGGTAATGCCCCCCAACCCTTGAACCTGACATTAGAAATCCAAGTGTATTAAAAGCTGCCACGGCGGATGGAGAAAAGCTCGGAAAACTTGGTTTACTTCCAAAAGCAGGTTTACCCCTTTCAAGTTGGGTGACTTTGGAGCCGTGGATTGTGTAAACTTCTGCTCAAACAATCAAACAGCAGATGATCTTCACTGATGGACCACAGTTCATCCGTGACGCTAGGAGCTCTCCCGGTGAAGTTGGAGAGCAACAGCTGCTCCTGGCGCAGCAAGGACCCTGAGACAGGGGAGCGGTGGGGAGTGGGGGCAGTGGGGGGGTGAACATGGAGCAGGAAGAGAACACAGCAGCAAGGGAAACAGAGAGAAGGGTTTCCTTTCAGCTGCGAGGTGGCTGCGGGCCAGTGGGGTGCTAACTTCTGAAGTCTTTGGTTCCCAGAAATTCGATGTGGTTTGTATCAGTCTTCCCCCAGGAAAATGAGAGCGTAAAACATCTTTAAGTAAAATGTTCGGTTCTCCTGATTTCAGATTTTTTTGATATAAAGAAGGCAAAAGCAAAATAGCGTAAATCACCATGTACTAAAAGTATCTGAGCACTGGCTGTGGCGGGCGGTACGGGGGTGCCTTCTAAGCCCCCTCCCGACTCTCGAACACTCTGACTCTGAGCTTCCGAGGGAGGAAATGAGGGTGCGTGCCTTCCTGCTGTTGGCCGAAATTACGGCTATTATCCTCAAACTCAAGTGTCAATACCACTTAATCTTCATTTTCACATCTTTTCTCCGTCAGGCGTCCTGCCTTCTCTCGTCTCCTCTCAGAACAGTAGGTGTTCCCTGTGAGTCAGGCGCCAGGCCGAGTGCTGGGGATACGGGAATAAAAATCTCCCGCATTTGGGCCTCCGAGCCTCCCCCTGTCTCCACAGGGTGGAGAATTCTTGGAAGGCAAACACCTATTTCTCTACTTGGAATCTTAGAGTCGTAGAGTTTTAGAGTCCAGGGGACCAACCCGCCCCCTCCCTCCATGGCCCTGTCTAGGAGCCCTGAGCTGTGCGCGCCTGGTGCTCCCTCACGCCAAGCTCCACTGCCTGAACTTTCCGGGCCTGTTTGGTGTGTGGGCACTATTTAAGTCACAGTTCAGCCCCCATGAGACAGGTGGCATTGTTATCCCCATCTTACCAGAGAGGAAACAGGGGCGCGGGAAGGTCAAGGGTCAGCAGAAAAGCAGGACTGGGGGGCTTCCGGCCCCCAGTCACTGCCCTGCTCAGCGTCTGTGGGCGGAGAGGAGGGGTTTTAAACCTCTGTGAGCAGGATGAGGAGCCGGCTCTGTCATTTCTCACCCCGTGACCATTTTAAGCCACTGCTAGTCCTTAGCTTTACTTCCTTTACCTTGCTTAACCCTCCGTCAACATGGAAATTTGGGTCTTTCCCAAAATTTTCCAAAGCGTGGGCCATAGCACCCGGGAATGACTCCAGCAGAGGGGACTGGACGCGTGATTCATGGTCGCCTCACTAGCAAAGGGCAGTGGGAGTCTAGTTACTTCCTGTGTCAGCGATGAGGGCAGACCACGGCTCCGTGTCCCCTCGGCCACGACAGTGAACGTCTCTGGGCCACAGAAGGCCACTTGGGCGACCCTGCCGATAAGTGCCAGGGACGCTCAAGAAAAGAGAGCTGCTGACTTTGGCCCCAAAGCTAGTGGCAATGGGCGTGGAGCAGGCAGACGTGCCCCTCGGGCAGCGGAACTCGGGGAGGCCAGTGCAGGCACCTCGGGGCGGAGTGTGAGCTCGGCTGGTCGGGCCCAGGCGTCCCGGGCTCCGCAGCCTCATCTTTCTGCAGATCCGCACTCAGTGCAACTTGCTTTCCGGAGAGTCCACTCTGTCGTTTGGCTACCTTGGTGGCCCCATTTAGGATCTGTCTCAACTACTTAAAGTGTTTAGCAAGGAGGAAATGTTTGATTTTGGTTTTGTAAGGAATTAGTGACCCGCCATCTCAGGTTGCTGCTGTGGCTGACCGGCTCCCGGGTCCGAGGAGCAGGTGGCCCCTTGGCCTGTGCTCCTGTCCTGTTCCTGGGCTAGGTGTCAAATGTCTGGACACCTAGTCCAAGGTCAGCCATGAATTAGCCAAACCGTTTGCCCCCTGTGGGCCCTGTGTCCTTCCTTTCTTATAATATGAAGGAGTCCTAGCTCTCAGAGTGTTCTCCGAGGTCCCAACGCCCGCGATCCCCTGGCACAGCCTGTCCCCTGCAGGTCTGCGGGAACACCAGCATTATTTAAAAAGTAATTTCAGGAATAATGAAGCCATGGAAGACACTGTAAAAACAATGCTACCCATTTATTTTGCTTAATAGTTAATTAAAATGTAAAAGCCTCCTCTTCTAAGAAAATGCAGCAGGGCACTTTTTGCAAGCCCCTCTTTGTCACGCTGCACCTCGCAAGCCTGCCCCCACGATGCACGTGCAGGATGGGGTCGTGTCTCCTGCGCCCCGTGCAGAACCGGCCACGCCCACAAGTCCCCAGAGTTGAAAGCTGGCCGTAGTAGTTGGTGGTCCAGCTCCTCCAGCAGCCCTGAAAAAGCATTTGCTTTCATCTCGTCACTGGCTCACACGGCGGTTGGCAGAGGCCTTCGACACAGCTGTCCCGAGTGGAAAACAAAACAACCGAAAAGCTGCCCCCCCACACTACGCACAGAAAGCTTGCCAGCAGCTGAAACAAATCCTTCTCCCAGTGTTTTAATAAGCACATTTGGGGGGGGTTGTTGTAAGAATTAAAGAGAAACTCATAAAACTCAAGACAAGCTGGCTTCCTGTCTCCCGTAGAACTGAAGTGCCTCCATTTTCCAGGGATCGTGACAATCAGTGGTTTCCAGACAGGCCTTCAAGGTGCTGAGAGCTTGTAGGCACTGGCTTTTAAAACACACGCAGTCTTCCAACGCCCCCGTCCACTCTCAGCCCCCCAGAGTTCCGTGATGTCTGCTTAACGTTTGAGCACCATTTGGGGCTGAAACTGCAATCCATATTACCTAGGCGAAAAATGACAAGTGCAAAAGATTCTGTCTTAAACACAGTTTCTAAATTTCCCTCCTCACTTAACGGTCACGTCACCGGTCCCCTTTCCACCCCGACAGTCGTGGCAACAGCCACTAACTCCTCCTGGAGACACAGCCAGGACGAGCGGCGCCTGGAGCGGAGCTCGAGCACCATGGGTATCAGACACCCCCGCAGAGCCCGTGCCCCAGACGAGGGCAGCCGGGGCCACGTGGCCGTCAGTCTGACAGTGTCAGCAGCCTGTGACTCCTGTGTCGGAATGTCCAGCATTCCTTCCCGGGCTCCTGGACAATTTCTCCCTGTCATGAGACCCGTCCTAAATCGAAAGCCCGAGTCTCCATGTTTACAGTCAATGTCTCACCTTTGATGGAAACTCGCCAGTGGGCAAGTTTTCGGCCCGTCTGCGTGGAGCTGACGGGGCTGAAAACCAGGCCAGACGAGAAACACATGGCTTTTGACGAAAATGCACCGAGCAGGTGGCTTTCTCCTCCAGGGACGGACTGAGGGACCTTCCCTGGAGACACGTCCAGGCCTCATGTCTTTTCTGTATTTTCCCGTTTAGATTCCATGTGGACGACTCGTGAACAAAAATGAGAAACACGAAGAGATGCGGGCAGTGCTCCCCAGCCAGCCCGACGACCCTGAAAGGTAATGCCGACACCTCCTTTCGGGTCTGCTTGCGCCCCAGCAGCCGTGTCCTCACGGGCGGACCCCGCTTTCTGGCGAAGGCAGTGTGTCTGTCCGGGTAGAAGAGGACAAACCCAACAGAACCTCAGAGAGAAGACGAGAGAAATCTGGAGTTGGGGGGGGTTGGCGCCAGTTCAGACCTCAGGAGCACGCTTTGCCCCCACTTCTGCTGCTGTCTAGGGGCAGGGATTGGTGTGGGCTACAGAGGTTATGGGTTTTTTTAATTGTTCACTAATTTTCCCTTTATAAATTTGTCCCTTGAGGTCACTTGTCTTGAATAGCACAGCTTTCCTCCTAGGGAACATCTCTATATCATTCTAGTAAGTTGAAGTGGTGTCTTATCTCCTGACTTATTTAATCAGGTACATGGTAAGAAATTCACTAAGTCCTTTATCCAAAAACACACACAGCAAGCCCTTTCTTAGGCACCTTCCACATTCTATCGATGTTTTGTGGCTTTTCTCAAGCCCTCCTCTTTTGCTGACGCATTGAGTTATTTCATCAACTTCATTTTCATCACCTTTTATGTGTGAGACACGGTCCTAGTCGCTGGCAGAGGTGACTGCAGCCCGTGTCCTAGCCGCTTGCCATGGGGATGCCCGCACAGACTCAGCGTGATGCACGCTGCGTGTTCTGCCTCACCGAAGAGGCCCCGGCTAACCGTGCTGGGAGGCTGAGGACAGTGAGATTCTTATGTGAGCAGAAAGAGATGCAAGAAGGAGGGGCTGTTTGACCTCATCTCTGGCAAAGAGAAAATGGGGGGAAGACAAAGAAAAGGGGGGAAGAGGGTCCCAGGCTAAGGCAGGGTGTGAAGGGAAGGTGGGGATCATGCTAAGAGCCGAGAGCGGTTCCGCTCAGCTCCCATGTTGGGCAGGTAAGGCGAGCACGTCTTGAGGGAGAGGCGGGGTAGCTGAGAGCTTATTCTGTAGGCCAGCGTCTCCCTGTCTATAGGGACAAAACTTCTTTCCTGTGACAGATAATTCAGAGAAATAATAGGACCCAGGTTGTTCGGCCCATATTTGTCAAATTAGGGTTCTCATAACCCAAGAGTCTGCACACAGGGTCTCAGGGCTCCTGGGCCATGAAAAATCTTTTCACTAATAGTGCCCATACTTCCCATTATGAGAGTCGTGGCCGTGCACGATTCAGAATTCAGAATTTTGAACAGGGGATTGACCACAGGCTGATCGGTGAGAGGGTGTGAAACCGGCGCGCAGGGAGGCCAGAAGCTTGCCCCAGTGCCTCTGGACCAGTGATGTGCGGTACCGACAGCAAGCAGCTGAGCCTTAAATGTACGCATGCACCGCTCTTCATCGTCCGGTCACTGTGCTGAGAGAGTCTGGCCTCCTGGACAAGATTTTATCTAGCCCGAGGGAAAGCAGGAAAGCCACTTACACAGCAGGTCTACCGCAAGCTTCAACCTATTTCATATACGTTTTTAGAAAACGTGATAAGACGAAAACACCTAGCACAGGAGGAGTCTGGAGGCTGTAGAAGGGGCCGAGACCACACACAGTGTTGAACGGTGTCTAGAAGACATTGCACCTTGTTGTCCTTTGGTGGCAGAGGTCTGTTCCAGGCAGATATTACCAGTTGGAAAAAGAAAGAAGAGAAGAGAAGAAAGGGAGGGCAGAGAGGGAGGGCAGGAAGGCAAAGCCGTTTTAGGTTTTGCAGGGATGAAGCTGGCCGTCCCTTGAAGCTTTTTTTTTTTTTTTACCTATTGCTGTTAGAGTCTTTACGCCCAGTTTCTTTTCAAAGTAAAAGTAAAGCAGCAGAGGAAACAATGCTGATTCCAGTGGGGGATTACCAAAGTAAACGCAATGTTTGACGGCTCTCTAGTCTCTATTATTAGAATCTCCAAGCCTGTTGTTTCAGAAGCAGCCCCACTCAGCACATTATGACCCTGGGGTCCCCCGTGTTTGGGAGACCCTGCCAGCGCCCGCTCGCATTTCAATGCATCCAACACAGACGTCTTCCTGTGCTAACACTTCTCTGAAGAAATGTATTTTTACATGAATTATGTGTTCAGAAAATTGTAATGATAACCTAGCAAGGAAAACCGTGATGATGTATTACAGCCTCCAGTAGAGGTAGTCCCGGAAGAGTAACATGAACGTGAACTTCTCACGAACGTGCCTTTGACCTGGCACGAAACTCAGGCAGGTTAAAACAAGGCACTGAAGGTGGACAGGTGCAACCTCGGTGCTGCACTGCCGCATGGGAACCACACGCTGGTCTCCAGGCACTTAGACGCTTCTCGTCTTTCCCGCATTCAAAGCACTTGGCTGTCTTTATGCCAAATGCTGGTGTTCTTCAAGAAAACTAAACAATAGTTTTTTTTTCCCCCCATGTGAATAGCACAGCCCCTCCAGATGTGGTATTGAACAGCCAAACAGCTGCTGGCCATTAAATGTCCTTTAAAGCTCCATTTTTGGCTCATAAAGGGAAGAGAAGTGTAGGGCTGTTTATGGGGTGCCTGGCAGATGTTTTCATTGGAAAAGACTGTGGATGTGGCGAGCGAAAGCTGAAATGATCTATTCCATGATATCATCAGCATTTTTACAATTCTTTTGGCCTCTTTATTTTTCACCTCCTTCTCACCTGACCCTAAATTAAACTCTTCTGGAAAGGCAGAAAAAAGGGCATTTGTGTAAGTTGCCGTCCCCACTGCAGAGCAGCTGATGGTGTTTTTTACTTCTGTAGAAACAGATGATTTCTGTCCACTTGTACCGTTTCATCGGGCAGGAGAAAAATTGATTTTGAAGTGATGAGTAAGGACTCTTAACGATTTCCAGCATGTTGGAAATCCTAGTTTTTCCCTCACAAGTTTTATTAACCCTTAGCCATGCTTTAAATTAGTTTCAATATTAAAGTCCGTGAAACAAATTTGTCAGTTTTTCAGAAATTATAGTTCTTCAAATGAATACATATTGAAGTTGTCTTGGTTTCTGGGCAACAATCTAATGAAGTCTGTTCTCTATCTAAAATAAGAAATGAGCAACTCCGCCCTGTGTCTGAGTGCTCTATGTGTCTGCATGCTCCATGTTGGATAAAATTAACTTTTACAGAGAGATAAATTCAGAGATTTAAGACAAGGGGCTTCGGGAAAGCTTGGGTGTTCAGCCAGGCTCTGACCCCCCCCCCCCCATTTGGAAAAGGCCCCTCCATGAAGACAAGGCCCAGGGGATGGACACACAGACTTCCTGTCTTCGGAGGCCTGTCTTACACAGAACACCCAAGAAGGCACCTGCAGCAATCATGTGTAAAGCTCCTACTGTGTGCTAGACAGTGCTAGGAGAGATACAGTGGGAGAGAACACTCAAGGGCTGGCCGGCCCTGCCTCTCAGGATGGAATCTTTTGGACCTAGAGCCCAGACCTAGAGCCTCGTCTCCGTGGTAATGTCTTTGATGGTGACTGCGGAGGCAGCGCTGGCCCGGGGCCTGCCGACGGCGCCCGGCCTCGCTTTGCAGAGGGCCTCCGGCTTGGTGCCAGGCCTGGCCTCTGATGTGGCCGTTGAACGCTCAGCCCCCCGAGGCAGCGCAGTCCACACCTGGGGCTGGAACTGGCCACCGTTCCGAGCCCATGAAAATGAGGGCAGGAGCTGCATTAGCAAAATTTGGTTTCCAGGGCAGTTTGGAAATAAATTCACGACTTTCTTCCTGCCGCTTGGACTGGCAGTCACGTACATACACTAAGTGAAGAAATAAGGGGAAAATGAAGGGAGTTGGGTTTGGGAAATTCATTTTGGTTTTAGATTGGATCTTTCTCTTTTATTTCTTCGTATAAACTGAACATTTAAATTTAATCCCCTCAGCAAATTGATTTTTTTAATCTCCGGTAGTTTCTGCTTTGAATATGATGTACATCTTGGTTCCAATGTAGGGTTACTTCAGAATGGAGGCGGGTTGTGTTCAGAATTTGTTGGAAATACATTTGCATTCCTCACTTTTACTCACTTATATCACTTGCTCATTTTTACGGCGGTGCAGTATTCTGGCCGACACTGTATTTTGAATGTACTGCTCTGTGACGTAGGATTGTAATTACTCAGTTCACTCGGGAACTCCCTTCCAAGGCCACTGGACCAGAGGCATGTTTTCTGTGTCACATCTAGGAACTGCTTCCGTGCGAGGGTCATCTGCTTTCCAAACGCAGTCTGTTCACTGTTCTAATCAAGTGGTTTCTGTCGTTCTCTTTAGAGTGCCAGGTCGGGGTTCTCGAGTGTTGCAGAAAATACCAGCACATTAAAAAACAAACTAAAATTCATTTTAAAATTCAAAGCATTGGGGTGATTTCCCTTTAAATTATTTTTTCATCACATTCTGCACTATGTTGCACTTCATTTTGGAGCACAAGCAGGAAGGGAATGTAAATAATAGCAATGAAACGTAGCCCCCTTGGGCTGTCAGTCTGATGAATACTAAACTTGACACTTGGGATGCTGTTACTCATCAGACTTACATTTGTTTAATCTTTTATCCAGCTTGGAAAGTCTGTTTCGGATCGACCTCTAAGTTGGGAGTGGGCTCCAAGCTACACGGAAAAGCCAAGTGCTGTCCTTGGTGACTCCCCACTGCTCCTGTCCCATCAGCCGAGTGGCCAGTTGCTCTGTACAGTGTCTGCTGGGGGGGTGGAGGCCAGTTCAGCCTGTCGGGGCGGGGGGAGCTCTGCTCCAGTGCCTTGCACAGCACTTCTCTGATCACCGTTGTTTGGTTTCAACCCTGTGAGGCAGTGCACAACTTAGCCCTAGCTGACATCTATCAGCCTGCGGTGAAGTGGATTCCGTTATTTGTCGTTTGACCTGCAGCGGCCAAGCCTAGCGATGGCTGTAAGTGAGGACTTAGTGTGTGGCGGCTTTCTGTCACCTTCCGAAACGGAATTCACAAGGGTCACCTGGAGCCTCATTGTCCGCTCTGGGCTCTCTGCTCCTTCTAGGCACAGAGCTGTGTGGGCTCCTACGACTGTCACTTACACTCATGGTGACCTCTTTCCTCTGATGCTACGTGAGTGACTTTTCCACACCAACCTTCCAGTGCCAGCATCTCGCTGACCATTCAGTGCAGTTCTGCACTAGCTGCCTGCAGTTTGCTCAGAGGCCACAGGTTAAGGGCTCAGTCCCACAAGACTGTTCCCAGAACCAGGGGCCGCCTGTACCTCTGACCAGTTATAAATTCAAGGGTCTCATACACCCTTCTAAGGTTCACTATTTTGCTGGAGTGATTCAACAGAACCCCAGAAAACACTGGACTCAGATTTGTGAGTTTATTATTGATGTGAAGGATAGAACTCAGGAACAGCTGAATGAAAGCCAAGTACAGGGCAAGGGATGGGGTGGAAGGGAGCTGGGCACAGCAGCCCCAGCCACCCAGGGTCTCACCTTGGGCTGCCTCATTAGCATAGACTTAGGTGTGGTCAGAGATGCCCCTTGGGCACAACAAGACACTCCTACCACACCGAGAACCCTCCCAGAGTTTCAGAGGCTCTGCAAAGAACGAGGGACCCAGGAGAGTCTGTTACTATTATTCCACAGCCCCGGTGTGGCCCCCGGCCTGCACTGCCCACTCCTCTGGGTGGCCCGCTGGGCTGCAAATCGACCGGCTTGTTGTGAGGTTTTCACTGACTGACACCTTCGCTGGTGGAGCACGTGACGACACCAGGTTTATGGAGCCGTGCAGAGGGAGAGTTACAGAAAGAGCGCATCTGCCTAGGATTTGTTGCTCAATTTTTTGGCTTTGAACTATTATAAATCATGTGTGGGTGCATCTCGGTTCTGACCAACTGGGAGTAGATGTGGCTTTCACAGAATTTTCTTGGGTTTTCCTCCGACGGGCTGATTTTTTCTCTTTGGGATCTTGAAGTCCTTGTTAGCGCTTCATGTCTGAGTTACGTTCTCTGTTCAAATGCATCATCGATCGTTGCTTTTTTTTTTTTTTTACTGTTCTTGAGGCTATTTTTCTCTGCACTAATGAACAATTTTCTGAACACGCAGAGTCCCTTCCCCTTTTCTCTCCAGGGGTTGGGAGTCAGCCACAGGACAGAGGGGCAGCGAAGGACAAGAGAGAACAGAAAACCCCAGGCCACGCGCAGGGCCAGCTCACCCCTGCGCACTCTTGTCTAAGGAGCCTGCTTCCTGCCCCCGACCACCTCCGTCTGCCTGGAGCGCTCTGCCCTTCAGAGTCAGCGCTTCAATTTATTTTATTTTGGGTCACAATGTCTAGGGGCAACCCCCATAAACACTAAATTAGACGGCTCTGTACTCTGGGGGGGGGCTTAGTACAAGAAAAAGCCCAGGATACACAGAATCTCACATTTCAGCATCTTTAAGTAAATGTATAGTTTAAAGTCAGAACCTTAAGAAGGTGTCAATGAGGAAACGCTTCTGACCTTCATGAATAATTTGTAGAGTATTTTTAAGAATCGAGTTGATCATCATTATGTTGAACTTACCTGTGAATCGAGCGATGGCCACAGCTCCCTGGTCAGGTCAAGGTGAGGACAATGCAAGGTGTTCGGCTGCAGGCTGGCGCCGCGTCGTCCTGACCCCACATTCCCTGCTTCGTGCTTTTGCAGTAAGGCCTATATCTGCTGAAATATCGAGACAAGTGGGAAAGGGAAAAGACACCCATAAGGAGACTCAATCCAAATCAGAACTAACAGTGAGAGAGGAGAACAAACCATCAAAACGGGACCATCACTGGTGATGAGGAAAACTCAGACTGAAACAATGATAGAAAGCTCAGTGTTAGCCGAGATATCAGTACATCCAGAGCTGACTTGAGCTGTGGGAGATTCTTACATGTGGCTAATAAAAATGGAAATCGCTATCACCAGCTTGGAAAATAATCTAGAAGCATTCGTGAAAGTCGAAACATTCACACCTGTTGACTTGACAATCTAATTTTGGTAAACCTATTCTCTGTAAATAAAGTACCAGTATGTGAGAATACATCTAGACAAATATTTCTACTATAGCATTGATTAGTGTGACCTTAAAAATAAAAAACAATTAGAAAAATGTTTGATATTCCATCACAGGAAAACGATTAAATGAATTTAGTCCATTTACAATTTTCAAATACTATTTGGCCATTAAAAATATTGGCTAGAGCTACATGTCTGAACCTAGAAGAATGTTTAGAAAAATGCAAATTAAACAACAGCAGAGGAATATATACTATATTTTAATTTTTTTAAAAAGGAAGAAAAGAAAGATGTATACCATCTATACTTACATTTGTATGAGCATAGAGAAAATCATGAAATACTGGTGTTAATAATAATTATCACAGTAATGGAGAATTAAGAGAAGAACCAAAATATCCTTAACTTTTTCTTTTATTTTATCTGATGTCTGCTTGCTAACATGGACATACTTCCGTGGTATAAACATACCCAATAAAGAAAATAATAATGTAGGCTATTGACTGGAAAATGCATAGCCTAATGCTTTGATAAATGCATAATAAGTTTATACATCATATCAGGGGATGTAGGTTTTTATATCAATTCTCAAAAAAGGGGGAGGCATTTATGGCGAATTACGATTTCAACACTGGGCTGATCTAGGGCTGTTCCTTCAAGGCACAAGTGGGGAGAGGAGGTCCTTGCTCACACCGCAGGGTCTCGGTGCCCGGCCACCGACCACATTCACGGCGGCCTTTGTCCCTGGGCAGAGAATGAGCTAAGCGCTGGCCCAGATCACAGCTGGTTAGCGGCAGGAGCTCCAGTAGAATCCAGACCTCCCGATGCCGGTCCAGGCTGTTCCCCCCGAGGACACAGGGCGGGGAGTGGTGTGGAGACAGATGTGTCGCCTGTAGCCACGACGGGAACATCTGGGAAAGTCTCACAAACCACCCAGCAGCTCTCAATGCGCCTGAGGCAAAAATCCTGAGCTCAGAGGGAAGAGCCATTACTGCTTCCTCTTAAAAAGCCTGTTATTTTGTTTCTGATTTTGTGTTTTGTTTTCTGAGGCACACAAAGTAACGCTCAGAAACTAATTATAAACACATGAGACACAAAACAATGCCCAGCGGCCAGATGTGCCCCTGGAGCTTGCTGTCCTCTGGGGCCAGGGGGCCAGCCCCTCGGTCCCCACGGCGGGCCCTCCTGCGGTCCCTCCCAGCTCCGGGCAGAGCAGCGATGCGGCCCCCGGTTGCCCCCTTTCATGGAACATTTGATCAGCACGTTTTCTGGACTTTCCTCACACCCCGAAACTTCCTCTCGGCTCCCCCTCCTCCAGGCTCGTCGGCGACACCCACCGCTGTGGCGTAGAGTCCGTTCATAAACTACAGGGTTCCTGCAGCTGCCAAACTTCCCCCTTGACCTTCCACTCGCACACTCTGCCCAGCACACGTTTCCACTTTTACTGAAAGCCAGAGCCTCTTACCCAAAAGTGACCTTTGCTCTCAGTCTCACCCGGCAGATCCAAAGACGCAGTTTCACATCCTGACACTTCCCTCCCGGGCTGAGTGCCACCTAAGACTCCTTGTGCCCTGGCCCGGTTCTGTTTGACCCGACCCAGGCCTTGGAAGGGCCAGCTGGGCCGGGGGCCAGGCAGCTGTTGGGGGAAAGGCAGGGCAAAGCTCTCCAAGGGAACAGAAAGAAAAGCAAAATCTGCTGAGGGGGGGGCCACCATGCTGCCTGTGCCGGAGCCACGCCGTGGGTGTCAGCGCCGTCCCCCCCTACGGAGGCCGTGCTGGCCTGGGTGTGCCCACGGCTCCCTGCGCCCGAGACGCCCGGGGCCCCTGCGAGGGCACTGGCCAGAGGACGGGGGAAGAGGAAACAGCCTTCCCCCGAAAGGGCGGAAACCCCTCGGCCTGATGAGCTCTAACCAAGTACAGTTTGGAGAAACGCTGTCTAAATAAAGACAGCTGATGACCCTGCTCTGAGTTTTTGAGAAATCCTGGGCTCGTGCCCAGAGCCTGCTTCTGAATTTTGGGTTGTGCAGAGAGGCTGTGCGGTTCCGACAGAGTCTGCTTGGTAAACTCTCTCCCGCTGTTGTCCTGAAAGCCCACTGTTGAGCCCGCTCGGGTGTGGCTGGTGTCACCTGTTGGGGGAGAAAGCCCGAGAAAGTCCCTTTAGCATGTGTGACCATTCGGGGGTGGCACAGGAACGTGTTCAAAGTGGTCACAAGGCCTCAACGTCATGACAGAAGAAATGCCCCAGGTCACCCAAATGTTGGCAGGTAAGAGTTTGCCTGAGATGGTTTCTGAGACAGGACAGGGTCACCTGGGTACCACTGGCCCCTGCAGTGCCTCTGTGTCATCGAGAAAGGGGCTCCTGGGTGTGTCCAGCCCACAGGACACCTGCTGGCTCAGCAAGTGGAAAATGCCGTCACCCAGGCTTCCCCACACCCTGGGCCCGGTGCAGCCAGGTGGATGCCCGAATAAGTCCCTGCCCTGTGGTCACCTCCACGAAGCGAGGCTTCCTCGGCATCCTTTCTCATCTGAGGGTGTCAAAGGGACACTTCCCCTTGGGGACATGGCATTTTGGGTTGACATGATCCCTTCTGTGGTACTTTCTACTCCAGCGGATGGGGCACGGTCAGGTCCGGGGGCATCTGGGAGGCGGAATTCAGTTCAGTTCCAAGTTCATCCCCTGTTCCCAGCCTGACTCGGGCTGAAGTCTTTAATCAATGGTTCCTGGGCACCAGTTCCCTCTCTAGTCCTCGCACCTGCCCGGGCAGGCAGGAGTCCTTGCTCCTCTGCCCATCCCCCAGCAACGAGACCGGCAAGAGCCCCCAGCTGGCTTCTCCCGCTTTCGTGGGAAAATTGCTGCCCACGTCACAGGAAGCCTTCCTGTTGCATCTTGACACTCAGCGCCCCCCAGGTAGATGCACAAACTCTCCTCGACTTTCCCAGGAGCCTTTTCTCTGGGTTTTCTCTTCCTGTTTTCACTTCTTCTGTTTAAACTGCCCATCCTCCCCGCCCCCTTGCCGGCGCTCCCAGCTGGCCCTGCCTCGTTGCATCGTTGCATTGTTGTATCGGGGCTCTCGCAAGTGTTTCTGTTGGGTTGGTGTTCAAGTTTCGTAAACTTCCTCAATTAATTTTTTGCAACTCTGTCTCTGACTGCCGTAGAGGTGCTACACCCTACGAGAGATCTCTTTAGAAGTTTCCCAGGTCGAAGATCATCTCTTCCTTAGTACTCCCCCCTCACTCTTCCGCTGTTTTTTAAAAAAACTTAAATGCCTCGGAGCCATCTCTGCTGTTTATGACGTAAAACACGGGGGTCCCAGTGCAGACCAGAGTCACTTGTGCGGGGAGGGGCTCTTCTCGTGTTGTAGTCCAGGATTTTGGACTAGTCGTGGCCCTTTGGACCCGCTTAGATTTTCTTTACAAACATAGGAAACGTCTACTTACTTTAAGACAGTCAGTCTTCCGGAGCAGGGTAGTGGCCCCTCGCTGGATCTTCTGAGCCATGTCTGTTAATGAACTTGACAGCACCCTGCCTCTCGGTTTGTTTGGAGGCGGGCTCGCACTCTGGGTGTTTGTAAGGACCCCGCGTGTCAGCGCAGGGACCTCTGTTTTCTTGCTTGTTCACTGACACCGCACACCCACACCGACAGCATCTGACACACACTCGGTCTTCGAGACGTGTCTGCTGAGTGATAAAATCTAGTCACTTTTTGTTTGGCTTTTTTATCTCTGTAGTGCTGGGAGGGCGATTTCAAACCCAGCCTGGGAAGCGTCGTCGTAACTGAAAGTTTCGGCCGTCACACCAGAGGTGTTATGTTCTGGGTTATGTTTTCTGCAAACACAGTTCTTTGCAGTGAAGGTCATGTACCACTTGCCAGCCTATTCCTATGAGCGGGTGTGTTTTCTTTATAATTCATTCCTTTTGGTTTGGCCTTTTGGTTTAAAAAGGCTTTTTAAATATTCTTGTCATGGTTCCCCTTTTCTTTCCTGCCAGTTCATTAGAAAAACGTTATCTTTCCTAGACCAGATCTCCAAGAGAAGCCAAATAATTGTACTCACCTAGCAGTAGGTCTATTATCCATACCCTTTCATTCTTTTCTGCAATCTGTTTTTAAACACATAACAAAACGTTTTCATGTTTACTCACTGTTCACGGTCACTGTTGCCGCAGTCTCGGTGAGGTTTTCATGGGCACATGTGTGCGTTGAAGCTGGGCTTGTCCCTGGACAGACACTTCCTTCCACAGTTTCAGTTGCTTGCACGCCGTGACTCTGTACCACGGCGCCACCCTGTTCAACGACAAGTCCCTGACTTTTCTTCCACGGCTCTTCCTGTTCGTTAAAATAACAATAGCAATCCCTGTTTCTCTTCCACCGTAGCTGACTTTCTTTGAGGACGATTCCTAAATTCTCCAATCCCTTCAGAATTCTTGGAGCACTCCCGTTCACTGTTGGCTCATCTTCGTAGTGAGGCTTAGCATCTGCCCCATGTGTACTTGAGCTTGGACTTGGGGTTAAAGAAAACCCAAACTCTTTCACAGTGAAGTTGAAGACCCAGTGCCTTGCTTGTGAACAGCCACTGCGTGTCCTTTTGAGGCCCCTTTTACGCTGCCGGGAACCCCCTGCATTCCAGCTGGTCTCGGCCTGTCTTCGGGGAACTTACGCACACAGTATTTTGTTGAAGTTCACGAAGCCTCATGCTCTGAGCCCAGGCTGTTTGTTTCTCCGTGTGAATGCTTCTGAATGAAGTCCTTTCCTCTGCACGGCTCTCTTTACAGAAGGAAGGCTTTTAATATTCTGACAACCCATTAATCAGAAAAGGCAAGATACAAAACTTCAGATGTGCACCCTTAATCCCAATTTACAAAAATGCGAATGTTCATACAATGGAAATAGGATAGATCTATGATTTTATTCTGTGTTTTCTACATTAAAGTTGTGTTACTATAAAAGTCGCTATAAAATCTTTGTTATGAAAGATTAAAATACTCATTATCCCTGTTGATTGGTTCAGCAGTTGTTGACTTGCGTACGTGGGGCAGATGCTAAGCCTCTCTGTGAAGATGAGCCAACAGGAAATGGGGTTCCTCTGAGAATTCTGAAGGGATTGGAGGGAGACTTTAGGGATGGTCCTTGAGGAAGGTCAGCTACCATGGAAGAGAAAGAGGGGTCGCTGTCGTTATTTTAACGAACAGGAAGAGCCATGGAAGAAAGTCAGGGACCTTGTCAGTGAACAGGGTGACGTCACGAGATTTGATATGACTGCATGTCTTTTTAAGCAGTTATTAACATTTTTTGTCTTCAAAGTGCATTACTTTCCCCTGGGTATTTTGTAACTCCATTTCTCTAAAAGTAAGTCTGGGCGATTCTTTGGTTTTCCTGGTCTCACCCGAGCGCCGAGTTGAGCTGTGCCACCATTGCCGTGATGGCCAGCCACACTGTGGCTCCCTGCGCGAGGCCTAACTTTCAGCTCCTGGGGACTCGACAGAGCACACGGCCTTTGCTCTCCTTACTGTCTTGTTGGCTCTGTGCTCGTTATGGGACGAAGAGCTGTGTGTTCATCATCACATCTACTGCTACTGGAATCACAGGCCGACCCGTTCTAATTCTCCACCCCTGGCAATCTGCCCTTGGCTCTCGCTCCAAGGAGGGCGATGGTGGAGGCCCACTGTGGGCAGGTGGCCGCCTCTCTGTGAACCTGTTTCCTGGCTCCTACCCCAAGAGGGCCCCCGTGGGCTGAAGGGGACAAGGCGTGTGCAGCCTGGAGGGTGCCACCAGGCTCAGCCAGCGCCCGTGGAGTGTGCGCGGTGGGGGTGTGTGAGGAGGGCGAGTCCTTTTGTCAGTAGAATGCTACTCTGTCAGCACCCATAAAAGCAATGTCACCTCACCCACCCGCCAGTCCCTGTTTTCACCACAGAAGGCTCCCCCTGCGGAGATTACTCTATTTCTGTTTGATCTTGGAAATGCTGCTTCTAGGGCAGACTCGCTTCTGGTGCCAAGATTCTAATTTACCCGGCTTTAGGGTAAATTCCTCTTCTAGTCTTTGTATAGTTGCATTTGAGCAAATTCTAGAGTTGTTTTTATGTCAATCCTGTGAAGATGGGTGAAGAACGAAAACAAGTCTATAGCAAATAACGTTCGCTTTTCCAGTTTCCCACATAATCATGAGCCTTGATTACTCCCACCTGCGTGCAATGGTGGGCGTTTTAAATGGAACAAAAGCAGACAGAATTATTTCCATTCCATGTAGGAATGAGTGATCCATCCTCTATAGTCAGAAATAGACAATATCTATGCTACTTTTATTTCATAACTTTGGTAAATAAAAATAACACCATGGTGCATCCATTGTGAATCCCTTTGATGTTTTCTGGTGTCAAAGGTCATATCCTTGTGTAGAAAAATAATGAATGAAAAAAATCCTATTTTATGCACATTTCTTTTGGAATCTTATCCAAAATCATGAGGACACAGGCTTAGTTGACTTTGAAAGTTAGTGGGCCTTACATGAAGATATTTTAAAAGAAATATTTATTGAAGTGAATGAGAGTGAAAATCTTTCCGGGTTTTAGATTTTTTTATTGGACATGATTTCTGGCACTGACCCGCACTTCCAAAGGCAGGCTTTCACGGTCTGAGAATCTCAACAGAGGCTGGGTGTTCATTCGAAGTCCACCAGCAGGCGAAGTACCAGCTGCCACAGAGCGAAAGGGAGGCAGCCGAGGTGCAGGGACTTTGTTTAGTTTGTGGACTCCCCCCCCCCCCCCCCCATGTGGGCTTTAAATCTTATGTAGGAAACAGTTCATCTTATTCTCTGGGACCCTGGGGCTGGAACAGACCATGGGAGTAATTCGATTCACACAAATGCTCTTCTTCCACATTCCTGTAGAAAAGCGAAACAGAACACTTAGTCATCTGCTATGTTTGGACTCGCCCTAATTTCATGCATCTCAAAGAAGATTTATCGGCTTGCGCCTTGGTTTCTGCAACACGATCAAGCGCTAATTTCATTTTTATGAAATGATGGCTACATTGAGCATGAGATAATTTAAGTGTTAGATCCAATTTTACTTTTAAGGCTTAATGTGTACTTAAGTACTTTTTCAATTTTAAGATAATTTCAAGCTCACCCCAAATTTCTAAGAAGTATGCAAAGATATATATTTTTCCCTGAGCCATTCAGAAATAAGTCAGCCCTGGCTGAGGCAGTGTGCACTTTCTACAGCCAAAAACACTCTCCCGTGTAACCACAAGACAACCATCTATTGGGGGGAAATCTTGTCTTTTACCCCCTTAGGTTCCGTGTCAGGGGGTTTGCTAATTTAACTGGCAAAGACTGATTCACAGGAGGGAAGGAGTACACACTTATTAATATTTTTACTTGCATGGGAGTTCACAGAAAAGAAATGAAACTCAGAGGAGAAGTTATACACCCTCCTTAACAAAAGAGAGACGGCGTGGACCTCAGGAGATAGTCAGGTGTGACTGACAAGTGACCAGGAAGCGTGTGAGGGAGCTGATGGAGTGGGGGACACCTAGTAAGGGTCGCGTATGCAGACGCGTCTCGGTGGTAAGAGTCGCTCTGCCCCTCCTGGCGCAGGGTGGGGTGTGGGGTGGGGCGAGTTTATACCGCTTCCTTCCTCAAAGGGAAATTGATTTCACGCTTTTGCGCACGTCAGAGGAGGGCGAGAGCAGTTTCTTCCTGTGTTTGTTGATCCTTCATTGCCTTCAGCTCCGAGATAATTCCTAATTCTTATGTCAGTGTGACCTGTCTGGGGCGGCATGTCTGATTCCCTTCAGATCAAAACTGGCCAATCAGTGTGAGCGCATCTGACCCTCAGATCCAGGCAGCGTGCCCCCCAGGTGTCCTCCCTTCGTCCTTCCTGGAAGAAAAGGGTCCCATTCAGGAGCACAGGTTGCCTTCCACTTCCGCAGCGTTAGCCCCTGTCCATCTGGGGCAGCTCTCCAGCCTTTGCTGACGCCCACGGCCTGGGAGTCAGTGGAGTGCCTCCCAATTTGCTTTTGTCCAGTGTTTCCTCACAGCTGGATTCGGATGATGCGTTTTGTTTTTGGCAGAAGTACCATAGATGTGAAGCTATGTTTTTTTTGTTGTTTGTTTTTTTTAAATATGCATCCTATCAGATGGTCAGTTGGCATTTTTCTCATTACAGGTGATTTTAACTTTAATATCTGGTGAAGGTGGTCTCTGGTAAGAGTCTCCAATGTAAAGTCGTTCTTTAGTATTTCCCTGGGTATTCAGTAAGTGTTGGGGAAATTGTGTAAATATCTCATGCCTCATCAGATTTCAGCCACAGTTCTAGGGCCCATTGACATTTCTTATTTAAATTATTACAACGACGGCTGCCAAGTAGTGATGTGTGATATCACAGTTTCTTCTCTATTTGTTATTGGGCGTTCCGACATGGAGGGAAGATGTCTCTGGTTCCCGTTTACATTTATCTAAAATGTTTCATAAGTATAAATCAATGAATTCTTATTTTATTTAATGAGTTAGAATACATTTTTTTATCATTACTTATTTTCATGCTAAAAATTTCCCAACTTGACAAGTTCTTTGAGCACTTCCTAATTTCTGGGACAAAAAGATTTCCTAGGCTCATCAGTTTCAGATCCATGTGAACCCCCCCCCCCCCCCCCACACACACACAGAGAAAGAGTGAAGATGAGCTGTACCGCCCTCGCACAAAAT